TTTAATAAGATATATATATATATATATATATATATATATATATATATTGTATTTTTAAATTAGAAATTAAAATTTTAACTTGTGTAAAGTATAAAACTTAAAAATTATAAGTCAAATGTATTTAAAAAATTGTTATTTATGGTGTCCAAAGATAATTATTGATATTGAAGATAATAGATCTAGTATTGTTAAAATATATATATATATATATATATATATATATTTGTGGCTTTGATTAAAATGTTACTTATAACATTTTAATTCGCATAGTTTTTTAGAAGGCTATACAAAATAGACATACATAGAAATCAACCAAAGGAACTTAATTATTGCAGAAAAAAATCAACATGTGTAATTGTAACAAAAGTATATACTAACTTAAAGCCTTTTGCCTTGATATATAATTAATATATTAATTTTTCAATCTAAATAAAAAAAATCTTTTAGTATTTAGATAGTATTATTTAAATATATATATGATTTAAGTAATAATATAGATTTATCTTTAATAAAAAATAATACATCTAATATTAATTTATACACACACACTCACATATATATATATATATATAGATAGATAGATAGATAGATAGATAGATAGATAGATAGATAGATAGATAGATAGATAGATAGATAGATAGATAGATAGATAGATAGATAGATAGATATTAAATATGTAACTTTAGCTTATTTTTTAATTTTTTAATTTTAAATATATATATATATATATATATATATATATATATATATAATATATTTTTTTATGCAAATAATATTATATTATTTAAAATAAATTATTATCATATAATAAAGAATAAACTTATATCCACAATAATATTTGTATAGTTAATATTAAGTAGCTAATGTTTTATAAGTTATTTATTTTATAATTAATTTTTTTAAAAAAACTCAATGATTCTTATTAAGTAGCAATATGATGTTAGTTTCTATATATATATATATATATTTCTTTATTTATTTTTTAAATATATTCAAATTTTTTTAAAATAATAAAATAATAAAAAAATAAAAAATAAAATAATCTTTATATTATTAATTAAGACTATAAATAGAATAATGGTTTATTTAAGAAACTATAATAAGATGTATGATTGGTATATAAATGATCAAAGTTATGATATCTTTGGTGAAATAGAAACTCATAAAATTCTTGTGGTTTGGGCATAATTTTGATTTATTCTAGATTCATTTATGTAAGACTTGTGAATTATTCACTGGCACATTTCTATTACTTGATCTTTGAGTGACATTGTATACCAAAATTCCACCTTGTGAATTTTTGACAATTCTTGTCACTTTCATCAAACTCTTTAGGCTAGGAACTCTCTAATTACTTTAGTTCACCTTGCATTAGAATAAAAAAAAAGTTGATTTAAGAATATGAAGGATTACAAAACGCAACTTATACAATTGATTTTTTTCAAATAAATAAATTTGAACAGTTTTAAGACGAATAGTTTTAAGATGAATAGTTTTAATTTGAATAGTTTTAATTTGTCAAAAGATGAATTCATCAATATATTAGTAGCTTCATGGTCCTTTAGATGGATGCACATATAGATAAAAATTATTATTTTTGACATATAGAACATACAAAAGATTAATGGTTCTTAATGAAAAATATGATATATATTGAAGATATATAATTTTTTTATTTACTATGTAGTTATAGTCTTTAAGATTTATAGTGTTGATACAAGAGTTTTTAAATTTACATTGTTTTAGACTTTTCAAATTTTATCATCATACAATCAATACAAAAGTAATTAAACTAATTTAAAAATTTAAAAATTTAAAAATATTAATAATTGTGTAACTTAAGAAAATTATTTTAGATCAAAGAGAAATATACATAGCTACTAATTGAGTAATTAAGTATTACAACTATAACTATCTAAATGCAATGTTCGTCATTTTATTTGATTGTGGTTTTATTTGCATTACATGTTTTTGATACAAAGTATTCAATTCTGTTTTATATTATGTTATTTGTATAAAAAATATCTTGTATATAAATATATGTAGTTTGAATATCTTTTATTAATTTTTTTGATTAATTGTTTCTACAAAGGATATTTAGATTATTAACTAAATTTAGATATAGTTGTTTTAAATAATTACAAAAATATAAAATTGATATTAAGAAAATATATAAAATTCAGATCTTTTATATTATTTAAATTTTAAATTAATTAGTTTTTAAAATTCCATTCATAAATAAAATAATCTTAATTCCAAATGTCAAAGTTGTTGTTTTGATTATTAAATAAAAATATTAAATTAAATTTTTTTAAAAAAAATTGTTAGATTTTTTTTATTATATAGAAAGTAAATTTAACTTTATTAAAATATATTCAAAATTTCAATAAAAATAAGATTGTAGTTATAATAGCATAAAGTGAAAAAAATTTCTATTCAAAAATTCAAAAACTGAATGAAAAATATATTGGATTTTAAATAATAAATCTAGTAAATAATTTTTCAAAAAATTTGATGGTTTGATTAAGGAAAATAATAATTTATTGATTAGCAAATTTATTACTTATAAATACTTCAAAAATAAATTAGAAAAAAATATAAAAGGCAAAATTATTGTTTCTAAATTATCAGAATTATATTAAAATAAAATTTCTATCTATTAATTTATATATATATCATATTTTAAAAAATAGAATTATAAATTTATATAAATAAATCTTTTACTTGAATCTAATTACTTATATATCTTATTAATTTTAATCTTATAAATATGGTCATATTATTTTTAGATAATTTATAATATTTTATATTTTCTATATTAATCTTTAATAAAGGCTCTTTTCTAACTTTGATAATTTATTGAAAGATTTAGCATTGAATCACCTACAACTTAACTAAAAAAATTAATAAGAAGTAGATTTGTTTTGTAATCTTATCACTAATACTAAAAGACTACAAAATTGTGCAATAGTAGAAAGTCGTCCTACTTAAGGATTTGTAGATTCTTTTTGTATTTAAAAATGATATTTTTAAATATCATTGGAATTTTATCAACATATATTAATTTTTTTAAAATCCATTAATATTAGTTAGTAGTTAATAGAAGCATAAGAAAGAATCTCATGTCTTTTTAATTATTTATATAAAAAATAAGATTTATAGTTGATTTAAATTAATTTTATTATTACTAAAATTACTAATATATATATATATATATATATATATATATATATTGATATCATCATTAAAAATATTATAAAAAAAATTATTTTTATTTAGTATTATTTAAGAAATTTTATAGCAATTTTCAAGACTTTGGTAAAAATAAGTTTTATCACCTTGGGAGCCATAATGAAGAAATAAAAGAAGTTTTGAAGCCAAATTAGAGTCCCTAAGTTAATAGGATGTTTTTAAATATTATGATGAAGTCAAAAATATAAAAATATTAGTTCTAATACTAAGAAATAGAACAACTAGTAAGTAATCTAGTCTTTGTATAAAAGGAGGTGCATAAGTCTAATATGGATTATAACACCTTAAATGTAGTTAGGAGGATAAGAATAAGGCCTTGTGGCCCTTCTAAGACATCTTTTTTATATTACATGTAAGCCTTGGTAAGGTTCAAATTCTTGATCTATGAACAAATTACCTTTGAGGTAAAAATTTATTCACTTAATTTTTTAATTATTTATTTTATATTTTTAAACATTCATAACTTATTTATAATAAATTGAATCTACATGTTTTTTATGTCATTGGAAAGATAATAAAATTATTTATTTAGAATTATAATTTTAAATTTTTATTCTTATTTTTTTATTGAATTAAAATCTAATGAACAAATTGTGACTAAGTTTTAGAATGTGTAGGTGCTTGATGACATTTCTTTCACTTGTTTTTTTTTTATTCTTTATTTGTTTTTATAAATTTTTTTTTTGTCTCACTTTGCACCACCAATTACAAGCAACTTTTAATTAAAACCATCTTATAATTTGGATTAAAAGGTGAATTTTATTCAATATACATGCTTTTTGATAAATAATTGTAAATATTATAATTTTTAAAATGATTTTTTTCTTCAAAAATAATTAATACTTTTAAATATTATTTTATATATAATCAATTTTACTTATTTTTTAAAATATCATATTGTTACATAATGTTGTTTGAGCAAAGATAATTTTGAAGGATATTTTGGCTAAACATGTATACTTTCATAAAACCTTTCCTACTACGAGCCTTTGAAATATTACCACAATAGATTTAAGCCATTAATTTTATTACTCAGAATTGCAATTAAAAAAAGTAAAATAAAATATTAATTATGGTACTCTAACTATTACATAGTACATTTTTTTCTTAGACTTGTAGAACCAAAACTCCTCCCATTCATAACACACCCAATTTCTTACTTTATGCTTTGAGTAAAATTCAATTACTTCAATAATATTGTGAGTATAAAATCTTTCTATTTCAAATTTACAACTTTTGTATTTAATTTACAATACAATGAAGGTTTAAACATCATCATGTACTTGATTCCATGTCTAAATATCTATCAGTCATTTTGTACACTATGGCTTCTTCAGTCAGCCACCAGTTTACCAATGCATCATGAAGAGACACAACACAAAATGCTCGACCCTACTCTCCAACTAACTCGTTAAGTATTCCCTTACTTAGCATTCCCCTAACAAGCCTCACAAAACACGTTTACATTAGAAATGTGATATTCTCAAATCTATATTGTTCTACATTGGATGTCTGCTAGCATTGTATATTACACTACAAAGAAACAGAAAACAAAAAGACAGGAATTATTTATCCAACCTCATGTCCACGACAACTAGCACTTAGTCGTAGCAAATAGTGAAGAATTTTTAAGTTGTTTGAAGAATTTTCATCACTTAAAGCCATGTGCATTCAAAACCAAGTGATTTCAAGAAATCCAATGGGGGCATTCAGCCACCAACAATCCATTCAGTTAAGACATCGTGATATTAAAACAACTAGAAATGAAACAGATACTTCATAAAGCATCTTTTTATGAAAAGTAAGATTTACAGCCAAATGACAATAATCCCAGAAAGCGATTTCAAAAATGTCTTTGAGGATTAAGGATGAAGTGCAAGACAAGAAATTAAATTTAAAACAATATGGCAAGAGATAGTGTTAATATGGAACATTGAAATTACTTGGGAAACAACGTAAGGCTAATCAATGTATCAATTAAGATTAGAGAGTATGAGAATTTACCTTGGCCCGCCCAAACGGCGCAATCTACATATTTTTACCCAAACCAAAACTCCAACCTATGTCAGCACATGCTTGATACAGAATGCGCCACATCAAACTATGTCGGTAAAAGTAGTAAATAAATGCCATTTAAATACAACGCAAACATGAGAGTATAATAGAAATTATTATACTGGACACATGATCTGTACGACTAAATAGGAAAAAATCTCACGAAAAGAAAGATACATCCGGAAAACTTTTTTTAGAGGAATGTGAAGGTGAATGTTATAACAATGTAATCACAGCATGTAACATGTAGAGAAAATGACGAAGTCCAGAAAAGATGAGGTGAAAATCTTGAATCCACAATAAAACAAATTGGTGTTAAATAAAATAGAAAGGAATTCAAAAATTAATAAGAGGAAAATTATAGACATGGAATAGAAGTAAGACCTTACGTGACACAAAGAAAAGTCACGAGGTTTAACCCATAGCACCCACTTGAGTGTGTATGAAGGCATATCTCTGCCACAAGAGAAGCAACGTTAGTAATTATATGAATTTTGGAAATGTCAACACAGTCTATTTAGTTTGAAATGGCCTGGCCATTATTTGGACAGTTAGAAATGAAGATCAATCAAGACTCCACCGCTACCACCCAAACATGAGGATGGAATTTAGCTCCCACCCCAAAGTACGTACACCGGTTCGTGCCCTACAGAAGACCAATGAGATGACTAAGGTAACCAAACACTGCACTGAAAGTGTATTTTTCAATCCTGATGACCCAAACCCTTGCAGTCCTTAGACGAACCCACACTCCCAGATCTCAAGTTCGGCAAGAGACGCGCTCAAACGTGACCTGTTAGAAATGAAACTTCAATTAACTTCTAAGGTATGCAAATAAAGTTCACAGATCATTACATCAGACTTTACAACTTCCATACAAGTTGTGTCCATCTTTGAACATGTTCTACGAAAGCTTTGTCCAAATCATAAAATTTGTGATAGTCTCTCCAATGCTCCATTCTTAGTGCAACAAGGCGGCTGGATTTGAACAGATCTGCAGAAATTGGAATAGATACTGTATGGCTGAACTAAGAGAATGCAAAGTTCAAAGAATGGTAACTACGTCCCATATCCTAAAGATCCAACAACTACAACACCTCACCTAAGAAAAAAATCAAGCGGTTACTCTATAACAACTATCCATGAGCTTTGACAATGTGGTTGAATCCAATTGAATATTTTTGCAACTCTCCATCATGCACCCATGCATAGGAGAAAATTGCTGCTCATGTGCAACTAACAGCACGAGTCATTGACATGTGAGCGAGTTTGCCCCGCAAAATGCCACCAGAAAGGTAGGGCCCAAATGGGACCTTTGCAAAACAACCCATTAACCAGAACACCACGGATACCAACTTATCAGCAACCGGAGCATGAAAAAGTTCTCCCTCTCCTATGTGACATCGAGAGACATGTTGCGTGATGCTGAAAGATACATCCACATCTGTACCCTCGTCCCTTATCTGCTCCCAGAGATGCAGGGGAGCAACCTTCACATCAGAATTATGACATACTTTAGCTGAAGTTAACTATCTAACCTAGAAAATCCCTAAGTTGAGCAAAACTGTAAAAAAAGTAACAACCACAAAGATTCCTAGGTATTGAATAAGTTGAAATATACTCAGTAAGCTATATTACTATTCTGTAACCAATGAACAAACATGTCATACTCCCGCCACACTTGATCTGCTAACTTGTGCTTGAAACCTCTAAGAACAAGACACGCAGAATATTCTAGCTCAGTTGAGGCCTCGATACAATTACCGACATACCAATATTTCTACGATCCAGGTTGGTTTCAAAAACCTATGTTTTAGATAGATCAAAAGCTTCAACAGCAATTGATCGATTTCGCAAATGAAATAAATTTTAAAAAACAAAAAAATAAAAACTATCCAACAGGCACTCATTTAAGAAACTGATGCAAGGGCAGCAGTGTAAGCTTCCAGGATGACAACACCAAGAATTCAATTTTCACAAACCTCACCTCAAAAAATTACACGTCGCACTGGAGATGTTCTCCTTGCATCCTTCCACATCTATCCCAAACATAAGGATCTAGTTTATTGGTAGCTGGGAACGTCCTTTCTAACTCACGAACAAACTCTCGCTCAATAATCATTGCTTGTGCATTCAAATCCACTTCATCGAGTTCTTTTGTCTTTGGTTTTGCTTCAGCCAAGTCAGTCCGCTGCATATCAGACCACATAAGAAGTGACTTGTTCATGAACAATATAATGAAGATATGTGCACTTTTTAGGCATGATCTAATTTATTCTAAAGTGAAGATCACAAAACGACGCGAACAGTTGCATTCAGGTGACAGTAACTTTGTTGTACTACAAGATCAGCAATATTCTTGGTACATGGATCAACCATTTCACCTAGTGCTGTTGGACACATGCATGGGTTCAAAGTGCCTAGGTCAGATGATCGGTAACTGATCATTGACATACTTTGAGGGAAGAGTATACATACCACGTAAACGTAAGCACAGCCCTTCCCACCATCCCCAAGTCGCTTGAGCCTCTTTTCTGACAATAGCCTGTACGTAACAGGCCATCAGATAAGAATTTGATAAAAATCCTACGACAGTATTGTAAAATTGCCGAGGTTAGAAAGCCCCGACACAATGACACTTAAGCCTTCGTATGCATACATGTAAATAGATGCTTACAATCTGATGGCCTTGCTGACATCAGGATTATTTCCCAAAGCACCTCGAATAAGCTTCTCAGGTACAGATCTATCCCCCACAAATTGCAAAATATTATCTGCAAAGCGGTTAACACGCGACAACTGCGAGGTTTTGTTTCCCGCTTTTTTCCGTCCATTAGAAACATTCGCTAGTACTAGTTGTCCAGTAGGCTCCTTTCCTAGAGAAAAGAAGGACGAGGGAACAGCTAATACCCCTTCTTCTGATTCAGTCTTGACACCTGCAGTTGGCACCTTCAAAGATGCTACATCACTTGTAAATGGTTTTTTATAATCTTGATGTTCTACAAGTGCAGATTCTCCATTTCGGTTTGACAGAGCAACCCCTTGTCTAGGAACCAATGGAATAACTGGTGGAGTTAATTCCTGACGATGCTTCAAGTTCCGCCTCAACTTTGGCTTCAACTTTTCTTTTAGTTTGTCCTTTAACCTTTCTCTCAAGGCATTGATGCTGCAAAAGTAGTAAATAACCTGTGTTAATAAATGTACTGTCCGTAGAACATCTTGAATAACTCAGACATTTGGTTTCTCTGAGTATTTTTGAAGACAAGGAAATATGAACAGAAAGAATATTAACATGTGAACATGATAATTGCAGAAGACAAACAGAATCTGACGGGCTAAACAGAAGAAACTTGGAGCATGAAGAGATTAGAATCTTCTTGAGACAAGCTTATAGTAAGAGAAGCGTTGATCTATTTTGAGGCACCATAAGGCTTTAGGCGAACAATTTACAACATGGAGGTAACATGCCTGATCATGATGCATGTAAAAATTAATAAATACAAGATTTCATTCATGCATGCTCAAATCAATATATATGGTAGGATATTGAAAATCAAACAACATAATTGTCAGGATGTTAGAAGTTACAAATTCCAGTGAAAACGTATGCATCAAAACATGATTGTAGCAAACAAATGAAAAGAGTAAATTTACACCCGAATTGACTCTAAGAAATTTACCTGAACTTCTGACTTGCATGAGGAACGAGCGAAATACTTCCTAGGTGGTTGTCGGTTTGAATCACATGAGGAACTAGAACCATACTTCGTACATGATTGTCGCTAGCTAGCTCCGAGCCCTTAGAAGTACCAGTATCAGAGACAGCAGATGAATCAAGCGGTTTAGAAGAAAAACTTCCATCCATGGCTTTGTCCACTTCGACCTGTCCATTCCTGCTCACATCCCAATGCCCATTGCGGTTGCCAAGGCCAATAGCTGGTCCTTGGTAATGTTCTATCATCCCTGTGTCCAGCACTTCTAAACGAGTCTCCGCCTGTGGAAAAGTACTGACCTCCGATGCTTTTACCTCGGGTGTCATCTATTCCAGGCTCCGATGGAGTATTTTCCCAAAAACAGCAGCTATTCTGTACTATCGATGTGTAGTAATTTAGGTGCAGAATTTTCCTGGAAGAAGGCTGAAATACAAGAAAAAATGGTTACGATTGTTTACATAGGGAGAAACCAATAGCATTGCTCTCGATCCCTCAAAAAGCAACAAATTTTTAGGCTACATACTTTCATATGAAGTGCCTAAAAATTGAAATGCAGGAGTCCCTCAGAATAACCTAGAAGAATTCTAGAAGAAAACTCAACCGATTTCTAATGCAGCTCTTTTTATTTCCTCATATACCTAGAATGTGGTTGAGAGGCAAACCATTTTAAAAGTTAGTCTTAGAACAACAGTAGGAGACGTACCATGCAAGGATTTCGTTTCTCACGTTCTCAACCATCGACAAGACCTGGAGGCAAGCCATGTTCTATTCCAAAGCAATTCGTCAAACCGAAGAGGCAAGCACTGCGTCCTAATTCTTCTAGGGTCCAGGATCTCTGATGTACAGTTGTAGAGATTAAAAAACGAATAGTACTTCTACTTCCTGCCGGAACAAGGTGACCAGCGTTAACGCTTCCCAACCAACAATGTTCAGGAACCAAATTCCAAAGAAACGTTTAAGAACCAATTGTAAGTCCGATTTCTACCCCGGCTAGATCAAACGATTCAAAACGATACAATTTCTAACTGCACCAGAACGCATAATGTTGCAGTTTCATCGCAATAAGTCCTACACGCGACCGAACTCTTCACAAAATTCAGCAACCTCAAATTCTGCACAACATACCGGAGGATTAAAAAGGCCGAGTGCAAACACTCGTAAGGTTCCACAGCAATGATGACGCGAGAAATAGCAAGCAGGCATCTGCTCCCTTCAATCGCTGCCAACAGACTGCAACGATAGAGTTAACCCCAGACGAAACACTACCAGAGAAAAATGCAAATTAAGAGTATAGGAGAAGCTGGAGAGGCGATGACTGACATGGCCCCATCATAGACTGGACGGCAGCTGGAAACACGACACGGCCCGAAATTGCGCAGACAAAGGTGCGAGGGCGACAGGAGAGTCGAGTAGAGTCCAGCGAGAGAGAGGTAGCACCAGCAGCGGCACAGCATAGCAGAGGGAACGAAGAATGGTGCACGAGCAGAGCAGAGCAGCCAGCACGGGAATGGGAGAGGAGGACGGGGGGCAACTGAGAGGGCAGTGGAGATGGTGCATGTCCCGCACAGCAACAACGAAAGGCCGGACTGGACTCAAAGCTAAAGTATCGCAACTTCAGCGCACAGATGCTGCTGTGCACTCGAAGCGAGGGAGGCAATGACAGGGAGCGGAGGGGGAACGAGCGAAGGGAGCGAAGTCAGGGGGGGCACCAGGGCGTCGGTCTCGAGGCACGACGACGACGACGAAGTCGCCTGATCATCGACCGACGCCGCGTCATCCATCCCTTTCTACTTCTACTTCGTCCTTCTACTTCCTTACTTTTCGTCCTTCTTCTCCGTCGTCATCGTCGTCTTCTCCTTCCTTCTTTCCTTCCTTCCTTCTTCGTCGTCTTCGACTTCGACTTCGCTCCCTGATTTTCCCACGCTCGCTCACGTCATTCTCCTGAAATTCAAGTTGCCCTATCACCACGATACAGTTTCCCCGCTACTCCGTGAATGAATGAATGTGCATGGTGATGGATAGCACTCATTCAAAGTCAGCAAGCAAGGCACCCTTTCAAAGTGAGTCTCACACCCCCCGTTCTCATTCATATTCATTCAATCATGTTTTCTTACTGCTCGCCTTGCCATTACTTTTGCATTTTTCATATTCTTTTTTTCTTTTATATGGTAAAACATGTTAAACTCCCATTGAAGACTTAAGTTAACCTTTCTAAGTCCGAGACTTCAGTATCCTTCACATTATTGTGTTATTTTTCGTGAAAAACCGAGTTTTTCACAATTTGATCTCTGGGTGTCGTGTTAGATTTTTTTTTTTTTTTTTTTTTTTTTTTTTTACCCTCCTAATATTTAATGAAAAGCCACCATTTTAAGATTTGCGAAATTGAACAAAAAATTCTCTTTGAAGAAATAAATTGTTAAATGATGCCTCACAAAATTTTACAACTTGTATTTGTACAACATATGCCACCATAAACTATGGCATTCAGTATCCTTACAAACTATATAATGAACTAAGACAATTAATCGTTGTATTATGCTTGCATGAAAATAAATTATTTTGATATGAAGTATAATTATATACTTGAAAAACCAATCAAGTTGTGATTAACCCCATCAGATGGCAGAGTAAAAATACATTTATGTGTGTACATGTATATACACGTAAGCAGATTGTAGTTAATTAGCCTACTGAATAAAAAAAATTTGCATCTCTGATAATATAGAATACATTTTTTTTAAAGTTTTTCTTTGTTTTTTGGGTAATGGTGAGGTTTGAGTTAACTATTATTTTCTTCAAATATAAAAATGGTACAATGTAATTTTTTTTCTTGTCGTTCTTATAATTTAAATTTTTAGAATTACTTGTTTGTATGCATCTTCCTAAGTAATATTCAATAAAAAATAAAAATAAAAATAAAAATTATTGATAAGTAAAAATTTCAAAGCATGTAAAGAAGTTTTGTTGATTGCCTTTACATTGTTGAATAGTTCATTGTGATATTAAGCACCCAAAACTAAACTAAAAAAACTACACAATAACTAAAAAAATTAGTTAAAAGACTGAAGTGTAGAATAATTTGTTTGCAAATCATTTTTTAGTTTATTATAGAAATTATAAGTATTTTATCAGTTTTATGCTAATGATTTTTTAATATTTTTTCATGATATTTTATTTTATTTATTTATTCTCTACCTTTTCAAACCTTTTTAAATGTCGTACTTTTACAAACTTAAGTTTATATTAAACTTATGTGTGGTAATGGAGTTTTGATTTAGAAGTATTTTCCAAATAAAGAATATTTTTATACAGCATATGCATGCAAAAGTTTTCAACTACTTCACAAAGAAGTGACCTAAAAGTTTTAGTTCAGCTTAAAAAATTATTCAGCTTTTAAATATTTAAAAAAATAATATTATGTTTGTATTGAAAGAAAGTGCATATTATGCTTTAAGGGATCCTAGAGTGACACAAAAGACTTACAGGTCTGAATAATATGAATTGCAAGGAACAATGGATTTCAATATCTTAATTCTGAAGTATTAAATAATAGTTCATTTGAAAACCAGAATAAAAATTATAAATCACCAAAAGAAATCAATGGCTTATGACACCAGAATCATCACAAAATCATGTTGCTGAAGGAATACAGATTTCTCACACTGTACTGAATAGTACAACTGATAAACTTATCAATAACAACTAAAAAAACTGTAAAATATCTGAAAAGAGAGAGAGAAAAAAAAAAAAAAAAAAAAAAAAAAAAAGAAGAAGCAACAAAAGCAAAAAAAGCAAAAAAATCATGATAGTTTTGAAATGCATTTGAATTGATAAGAAAAAAGAAAAGGTCTAGAGGGACTACCAAATCTTAGAGTATTATAAGAGGCAATTGGTTCTCTTTCCCATTTTTGTTATATCTATAGGAGTGTTTGTAAGATTCTTCAATGGGCTTGTAATATTAAATTTAAAACTGTAATTATTTTATTCAGCAGTTTTTTTGAAGATGGATTTTCTGTAACCAATTTTAAAATTGATAGATATAAACATTCTTGAATATAATCAGAAAACAACTAAGAGCTTGGATGATGGTACCACAATTAACAAAGTCATCTATAAAGATCTTGATTTATGCAATCATAATTAACAGCATCATATTATTTATGAAAAATTTATCAAAAGATGGAAAGAAAGTATTAAAAGCCTTAGAATGCATGTAAATGCCATTGACTTTGCTATTAAACCAATATCATACAAGCTGGGAAGACTTGTGCATAAAAACCCAAGATGCTTGATACATTTATCTAATTGAATTATTAATAAAATAAAATAAAATAAAATAAAATAAACAAATTTTGAGGACATTACATAAAAACATATCAACACCACCTTTAACTTATATGTATAAATAAATAAATAAATACAACAACAACAACAACAACAACAACAACTTTTCTTTCTTTTTTTTTTTCTTTTTTTTTCTTTTTTTTGTTTTTTCTGGCTCTTTGAGGTAATTTTGCAAAATTTAAGAGGATGAATATACAAAAAAAATCGGAATTTTTATGGAAAAAATATATATTAAAAATTATATCAAGAAATTTTAATTTTTTTTATGATCTTATTTTTCCAATAACACAATATTTTGATAAAATTTACCACAACTTCTTCTGATTTAAAAGAGTATAATAAAATTTTCATAATAGTAGACCATTTTGATCAATTGGTGCACATGGTGCTCACTCTAAGAATGACTTTGATTTGTGAACATTACAAAATAAGAACATATATAAAAATGAGCATTATTAAGAGTCGTGATATCAGTTTAAAAACCTATGTTCATATGCACATTTTTGCAACATGAGTTTACAAAAGTCATCATTAAATAGGTGGTTGCATTTTTTTTCAAAATTTTTAAACAAATAAAAAATATAAATGAAATCTTAGATTAATATATTTAAAAAGTTTATATGTAAAGACTAAAGAAGTTAGGTAGACTATGTAGGAATTGCCACTGTTTGAAGTGACAAAGGAATTTTTTGAAAATTTATTAGAAATAAAAAATGAATTTGGTTTAACTAATAGTTTGAAGGATAGCACAAGGACACGCCACCATATTCTGAAAAGACCCATGTGACAGAAGAATGTTCCCTAGTACAAGGGACCTGTACAAATATTGAAACTATAACAATCCTTTGCTTTGAGGAGCAGGAGGCAATAATTCAGGATATTTACCCTAGACGCCTAAGACTACACTTGTGCAAAACATGCTAATGTTCGACCGATGAAATCTAGTTCCACCGCTTGGCATTCTTAGAAACTTTGGCCTTAGCTTTGCTTTGTTGAAATGATTTGGCCTTCTGCTTCTTTTGTAGCTCCTTTTCAGCCTGCAAGGTTGCATTCAGCTTATACAGTTAGAAAGGATCGTGTAAATTGTCGGAGTTTGATTAGTAGGTGTCACTAACAAGGAATTCTAAGCTCACCTGGCTGGTTTTCTGTACTACAACCTTTACCATAATCAAGCACGACTGTAAAGACGACGTAACCATACCGACACTTACTTGAGTCACTAGTACCAATGTCGAAGCATCTGATGTACGAAACTAAAAGAACAGGTTGTGATTTCAACCCTGGAATGCAATACATATATACAAAAAGCTTCATTCCAATCCTGGGCAATCCGTCCTAGTTCTAGCTTAGGACGGATTAAAACACCATATTAACAGGTACAAGGGAAAAAAGATGGGAGAAACAGGAGCACGCTTCTAAACATGTGGTGAATGTACCTTGCTCATCTTAGATTTGGCCTTTACAGTAGGAGCTAGGGTTTCCAGCTCCTTCTCCCGTTCTAGTTCCCTTCGACGAGCCTCCAAGTTATTCTCCAAGTAATACTTCAATACACAATCAGAAGTAGATTCATGTTTTGCAAAACACAACATACTATCACGAAATGCTCATGAATCAATTTACTCCTGGTGCCGGAAGTCTCAAGCGAAAATACGTCTACACTGGATTCTACAAAGATTTAATTACAGTCAATTCTCAAATTATCCTACTCAATCTCTTGGTTGGATGCTTCTCTGCTCCAGGTTCTTGGATGAATTTAAAGAAAGCACAACAGGTCAAGCATTTGGAAGCTTACGTTATAGTCCCCAACATAATCGTTTAGCTTCTGGCCCTTGACTTCAACAACTCGGTTCACAATTTGCCGCAGAAAGTAACGATCATGAGATACTGCTATCACAGTCCCGCTATACTCCCTCAGAGCTTCCTGCCCAATAAGCGCATTAAAAGATCGCACTCTATTAGAGTGTAATACATTAATGAGCTAATTTTGAAGGACTTGAAACAGCCAACCAAGAAAACAAGTCTTTAGATGGTTTACTACCAAGAATGTCCAATTGCATGGGGTTCGTGGTTAACTCACCTCTAACATTTCCTTCGATGGAATATCAAGATGATTTGTAGGTTCGTCCAAAATCAGCAGCGTCGATGGCGTCACCATGAACTTGCACAATGCTAGTCGAGCCTACATTGTCAACCACAGCAGATTCTTAAGATAAACTGTTCGGAACATGTGCTAAAGAGGCTGGAGCTCCAATAAAATCTACAAGGTAATACCTTCTCACCGCCACTAAGAAACGCAACTTTCCGATGAACCATGTCTGCCTTAAAGTTACACCGACCCAAGAGAGCCTTTATGTCATTAATTGTCCAATCCTCCGCTGCCTGTTCCACAGTCTGAAGGACGGTTTTTTCCAGATCCAGCGCCTCTGCCTGTTGCATAACATTTTTTTTTTAGAGAATAAACTTTTCATATATTCTTAACAGCAGCCACGACTTCATCGTTGAAATGAAAGAACCCTGTTGCAAACGCTTTCTTTGTCACAAAAAATAAACAATAAACGAAGACTCACAGAAGAAGAGAAAACGAACCTGGTTCTGCTCGAAGTAGTTTAATACAACGCGATGTTCTCCAAGTGCAACTTCACCTGAAGTGGGTTCCTCCATCCCCATAATCATACGCAGCAAAGTTGACTTGCCACATCCGTTTGGTCCAATGATGGCCAACTTTTCTCCTCGTTCTACAAGAAGGTTCGCATTGTTAAACAAAACCTACAACGAAAAGCATCCATCCCAAGTTAAAACAGATCTCCAGATCTCAATGAAAATAATAACAATCTACTACATAGACACAACCTTCAACGCTGTGAGCATTGTTCATCATATAGTTTGACAAGCAGATCATAAAGATATGTCCGTTTGAAGCTCGATACCATCGCATAAAGAGATGTGACTTCTGGATTCAACTGAAAGATCTGATATTTTGGAACCGGGTTTAAGATCAGGTAGTCTAAAACAGCTCACTAAAACTCAATACCACATGTCCTAGATATGATCATCTCAATTGTTGCTACTGTGAAAGATGGCTAGTGCTGGATTCAAGGACTACACTTTTAAATGTGTCAATTTTTTCCTAGGTCTCACACCGAGGCAGAACCTTAAAAAAGGACGGAAATTGAGTGCAGCACTACCTTCCCCTCATATTGAAAATTCAAATTTCGTACTTCCAAAACTTTCTTCCCACTTCGTTCGAGCTCAGGAAATCTGAACTTCAGAGCCTTGCGTTCAAATGGCTTTTCAACTATGTTTCCAACTTCTTGCATTTTCTCAAGTTGCTGAAACAATCCAAGTAATAATTACGTGTTATTCAACATCTAGAAGGTATGCATACACTCTACGTGTGACCACGAATAATATTAGGAGCCTTGTGTGCAGATGTATAATCATCTTACAAAGGCATCTAAATTGCGTCTTTAGTCATTTCTTACATACCTGGCAAGAGAATATTCGGCAAACGTTCACAAACAGTTTGATGAACGAAATCTGCTAATATTTACCATGAAGTTTGAGGGACTACCTTCTCAGCTGCTGAAGCTCGACCGGAATTAGCTCCACCACTTAGTCTTTGAATCAAATCTTCTGTTCGAGATATCTCTTTCTGCTGTTTCTCGAAAGCCATGCGCTGAGCTTCAATCCACGCTGCCTTTGCGGTTACGTATTCGCTGTAGTTACCTTCAAATGTTTTTGACACACCCATATCAGTTTCCACAATTTTCGTACAGAGTTGATCCAGCGTTGCTCTGTCATGTGATACAATAACCATAGGTACGTCTTGCTTCTTCAGGTAACCTTCTAGCCACTCTATGCTGTCAAGGTCAAGATGATTTGTGGGCTCATCAAGCAGTAACAAGTCGGGTTCCTGAAAAGGAGGGATTGAGTGCCATTAGTGCCATAGTCCGACATCACATACCATACTGGAGAAACTCTGGAAATGCATGTTACAAATCTCTCTTGCATAATATAACACCCATTTCATCATCTAAGTCAATCCTGTAGCGCAACTCCCAACTTTCATAGTAGTTTATTCATGATCTAATAGAGTGGAGTTCATAGCCGCTCACAAGACAGGAATGCTTCACTAGACCACCTCCATATGCCTAATCAACAAACGTACAATGTCTTAATGTCTTCAAGAAGCACTCATTGCACAAGGTAGGGTACCTGGAGAAGGATTTTTCCAAGTGCGATACGCATTTGCCAACCACCACTGAATGATGCGACAAGTTTGTCAGCATCCTCCATGGTAAAACCTAATTCAGGCATCATCTTGTTGATATTCACATCCACATTGTACAGATCTGTCAACTCTGCTTGCTTTTGTAAGTTGTCCAGCTCATCTAATAAGCGTGCCATGAGATCCATATCATCAGTCGCGCTCTCAAGTCCAACCTGCAACACAATACCAGATCACTCATTTTCTACAGCGTGAGAAATATGGTCCACTAATCAGCGTAATAATATGGTATAGGAATAATCACTGACAGCAACTTTCACATCAAAAGGTTATACAATCTATCATTTGCCGGTTCAATCATCGTTTCGACCTCTCAAAATGTGAACAGTGAACCTTTCAGCTTTACCGTCAATATAAAGTGCTCATTTCATGCTCTGAGAGAAAATCTTCAAGTCCAAAAAAACTATATATATATATATATAAAAAGTCGGTATACAATTTTAGAAATTGACAAACAACTTCAGGTGATCAATACCAACCTGAACTTTTTCAATGCGAGCTGAAATTTCCATTTGTTTATTAAACACACTCATGAACTCCTCTCTCAAGGTCCTGCTGCCCACCACCTCGAACTCCTGAGACAAGAATGCGATTTTCATGTTCGGTGATGCTTTGATTACTGAGCCACCATCTGCCTCCTCTTTGCCTGCGATAATCCTAAGCTGCGTGGTTTTTCCTGGACAAAGAGATTGTTTCAGAAATTGAATGTAAAACACGGAAACCACCATAGAAGCTCAGGTAATTGCCAATTGATCACCCGTAGAAGGCACTGACTCGTGATTCTTGTCATCCTGGATAATTAAGAATAAAATATATTCAAAATTACAGCTGCATAGAATTGGTGCATGGAACTTTCCATCACAGCAAGAAGTGTGACAAGGTGCGGCACACTCACCAGCGCCATTGACGCCCACAAGCCCCACCCTCTCCCCTTTTTTCACTTCCCAGCTACAATCTTTCAGAATCTGCGCACCCTTGAAAGTCTTGCTAATGTTCTCAAGCCTAACTCCAGACGACACACTTGATGCACCCGAACTATTGCCTCTTTTGTTCGATCTTTTCTGAGGCTTGTCGTCGGTATCCAAGTCAAAGTCTTCAAGAAAGTATGAAGAGGCTGTCTCTTCGGCTGCTGCTAGTTTCTGTGCATTCACCTTGACAGTACTGCTATGACTCCTCGCATCCTCCTTGTGGACTTTCTGATTAATCCGCGAATTCAAACCGAACAATTTATGTTTGGGAAGTGACCCAAGCCTGGCCGTCCGCTTCACGAAACAATTCTTCGCGGTGCTACAACTCAAATTAAATCCACATGAGCAATGCGGTCCATCTGACGGAAAACCTGAAATTGGTGCTTGAAAATATGGCACATCCTTCTGGATTAATCCCAAACCTATTAATGACCTACGGCGATGAGACACTTTAACAGCATTGCTAATCTTCCAGGTCCGAACCTTGCTACATGTTGGTGTCAGTGCATTGCGTGAAATTGTCTGGACGTGAGAGATTGAGCATGCCCAGGAATCAGCGTACGCGCCCATAATTCTCCAGCCGTACCGAGCTAACCTAATTCTGTGTCAATGCTAACAGGGAAAGTAGAGCAGACCTGTTTCCCCTCGTCACTCCAATGCTAATTCCCTCATAGCCGTCCCGACGAGGCAGCTCCCAACACAGAGTCGATGCAGGCGAACAGCCTACCAACTGGTATCAATTCTGCCAATCCCACGACAGGCTTTCCTGATACCCGGTTTGCGCCACAGATGACCCTCTATCCTAATTCAATGTCTGAGGATGAGACCCCTTCAGCTGTGCTCGTCGCCTCATCACAGCCCTCGTCTGCGCTGCAGCAGTGCCACCAGCTCCAATTCAGACGACCCCAATCACGCATCGAGGAAACGTGGTTAACGTAGGGCGGGTGCATATCGAGGGCGAGGAGGAGTAAGAAAAGACTAATCGACGTGAAAGTGTGAGGTGGAAAGCACGATGGGTGGCGCAGATGAGAAACGGATAAAGCAAACAGGGGGGGGGGGGGGGGGGGGGGTTGCATGGCAGGATCAGAACCAGGCAAATCCTGAGTGACTGACTGCTTCTTCAAGGCTTCCCGCAACAAAGACTCCTCCTCCTCGCAAAAATCTCATCTCCTCCCTCCACACAAACTAGCTTCCAGTCCACTACAAATTTCATGATTTTCAGTTCCCTCATGAGAAAACCGGTACCTGGGTAGTTTCACAGCGGCATTGCGTGACACTTCGAAGCAACTATTGAGAGAACAACAAATTATATTTATATGTTTTATTCACCCAGCCACCCGGTCCGGCGCGGCGATTTCCCCACTCTCGCATTTCCATGCAGTGCCGCGACCACGGTCGAAGCGAGGATGAATAGTCTCGAGGCTAAATAATGCTGGATGAATTATTTCGTCGATGATTCCACTCTCTGTGGTTCTAAACTTCGTCGGGTTTAAGTTCTCATCCAATGGTCTTATCCTTATCAAGGGCATCTGTCACTTTCACTTTAGACCCTGAAAAATCCTTGGGCTTCAACCAAGTCCTAAATACAGGTGTACAAAAGGAAGAGAGAGAGATATTATTCTATGCAAGAGACCAAAATGAAGAGGTAAAAAAAGAAACAAAACAAAACAAAACAAAAAAAAGGGTATAAATAAATTGTGTCAATTTGTAAATTTTTGATGAATTCGTAAATTTATTCTTTGCTTTATTGAATAGAGTAATGGGGCATTGAGTTGAAAGAATAAAAAATAAAATTAAATATAGCTGATATATATATATATATATATATATACATATTATTTCAACATATAATAAATTCTTTAATGAATAAAATATATATATATATATATATATTCATTTTTTTAAAAATATATTTATTTTTAAAATTTTAACACTTCATTAAAGCCAATACAACAAAAAATTAAAATTAAAATTAAAAGTTTAAGCAATACATATTTGATCCTTACTTTCATATTTATATGCATTTATTGATATAACAATAACTGAATTAAAATTTAAAAATATTTATTATATTTCAAAAATATTAGTATTTAAATATGGCATCTATTAAAATAAAATAAAATAAAAAATCATATTAAAATAGGAAATATTACCTTGAAAATTTTCTATTCAAATGTTTTATAAAACATTTTACTGTTAAACACAACCCGTATTTGTTTTTTAAATGCTAACTTAGTTTTCAAAAGTATCTTGTATTTTCTGAACCTTCTAAAACTGAAAATCATATATTTTATCATTTAAATTAATGATTGATACTCTATTACTTTGAGCATTTTTTAATACTGTTAATACTTCAAGTCATTAACCTACAATTTGGTAATAACATATGACTAAGATAGTATATTACAATAGAAGAATTGAAGCTTTTAATTTTTTTGAAAAAAAACTTATAAAAATCATTGTATAAAATATATAATAGAATTTTCTATAAATTTAAATAAATTAAAATTTATAAAAATAGAAAAATTCAAAAGTATTATAATATATAATAAACTAGACTTGAATGGTTAAAGATAATTAAATTTATTGTAAAATAATTTTCTATATATAGAATGATTATTTTTATTATTAAATCAATAATAAATTTTATATCTTAATAAAATTTTAAAAATTAATCAGTTATATATATGTAATTATATTTAATTATATATATATTTAAAATATAATTAAATTATGTTTATGAAATATCATCAAATTTAAAGAAAATTTGAAATTAATCTTGAAATTTTGAATAAAATTTTTACAAAGAATTTGGTTTCTTACATCAAATGTATCATTAAATACGCCATTTTATTTTATTTCCGAAATTCTTATAAATCAATAGTATGTCTTTATATCATTTTAGTTTTTTTTAAGAAAATATTTTAAAATATAATATTATAGCATGAATGTTGAAATTTGGGTATTTTTTAAAATCTAAAAAAGCAAACTTATAAGCACCAAAAACAAGTAACTCTGTGTAATTTCGAATTTTTAAAAAATAATGAAGTTGATTTGTAACAGAATTTTTAGAAATTTTGTATTTTCAGTTTTTACTGCAAGCCAATAATATCAAAGATTGTTCAAGATTGGATTCGTTGTGAAAAAAAGGCAATAAATATTTGTTGTAGGTAAGTGTAGATAATAATTTATGTCATGTTTAATAGTAAGGTATTTTACAGTGATAAGTGATAATTGGAAGTACATCTTATGTTGTTCTTTATTACCATCATGTTTCCATTTTGTTATCATTGTGCTGCCCTTACCTATAATTAATGAAAGGATTTTGGAAGAACAAAAGAAAACTATCCCATTTTAACCTTTTGTTTAATGTAATTTTAATTATACCTTCTGATCATGTTATATATATTAACATTTTCTCAATATACTTCATATATATATATATATATATATATATATTAAACAATTTCAAAAGAAAACAGAAATAGGTCTTTTGTATTTTTATACAACTAAAAATCTTTCATGGTATCTAGGAATATATTTATTTTATTTTATTTCATATAAGAAAGTTATCTATTCTGATTTTATATTACTTAAATTTTTATATATTGAGTATTTTTATTATGTGTATATACATATATATATATATATATATATTAAAAAAAAATAGATAGACATAGTTTTTTATAGTTTATAAAGTTACAAATTTATTTTTTGTATCTATTAGAAATAATATTATGAAAGAACATATCCCAATAATTTTTTTTTTCAAACTCAAAAATGTTGTTGATTTTTTTCTACAATAAAATTTAGCAAAAGCATGGCTCTAAACCTAGAACTACCTTCAAAGTGATGTTTTATATTACAAAATTAACAAAATATGCCTATTAATATTTTAAAACTTTTTAAAACATATGTCTATAAGTCTTTGGTTTTACTTTGGATTTATGACAATCTTACAATAATTGCAAATCTAATGGACTAGATTGAAAAACTTATTCAACATAACCAAATAAATAAATGTATATTAATGATTTGAAAAAAAATATATCCATCTATGTTATAAAAGATGGATTATTAGTAAAATATATATATATCACAAAGACTAAAGCCAAATCCATACAATTTTTAGTATTGAACCTCAAAAAATGCTTAAAAAGCTTTACAATTATTGAATTTTAATGATTATTAATTTTTTGGAAGCACAAAATTTAATATATTATTTAATATTACCAATAATATAAAGTTAGCAGACATTTGTATTGAGAAAGCTTTTGTCAAAAACAAGGAGATTAAAAAGTTTTGAAATAAGACTAAGAATTAGATAGACATTGATAAGATTGGAGAAGGCTTCACTCTTACCTCTATATATACTCTTAGCTAAGAACTACATGGCGATGACCTATAAGACCTCCAAAACATGTTGACTTTGCAAGACATGTATCTTAACTACAAGGCAAGTTTTTTATATGTGCGCCACAAAATTAGCTTGTTCTATATGCTACCAATACGTGGTTAACTTATTGATCAAGTTTCTATCCTACCAATCAATTACAAACAAATATAAAATCAAAGCAGCATCTATAAAGCTTCTAGGAAGCTTCTGTAGAAGGTATTATGAAATTAATCTATTTTTATTTATTTTTATCTACTTCTATCTAATCATATAGGTATTTATTAGAGTATATATGTATATCCATATTAACAAGGATATTTAGTTGATTAGATTGTTTCTATATCTTTGGCACTTAATAAGTCAACTTATATAGTTCAATTCAAAAATATAGAATTTATGATGAATCCTTCATTTTTGATCACTTGTTAGTGTCACTAATACTCAATCTTCAAGATTAAAGCTCCTATAAATCAATGTACAAGATGAATTCAAGGCATCTAAAGGATGAGGAGGTTAATGAAGCATTTCAACGCATGTAGATAAAACCTAAGGCTACAAATTCATTGTTTATGTCTAGATTGTGTAAGTTCATAAAATTCTGTAAAATATATTACATTTGAATTGCAAATGAGAGGTGCTGCTTAGAGAAGAAGACTTAGGTCAAACAAAAAATAGTATAATAAGAACTCTACAACTACTTTGAAGATCTTGCATGACAAGATCAAATAGAATAATATTGAGAGGGACTTTTAAAATTTTAATTGAAGAAAATAGAAGGCATATGGATTAGGGCTTAAATTTGATAGAAGATACCAGGAAACAATATGTTACATGAGTTTTTTTAAAGTTGTTAGTAATAAATCCATTGTCATATAACATGAATTTTAGCTTGAGAATGCATTAGGCACCTAACTATGGAAGATAAATAAAAAAAATATAACAATAAGATCATAACAAATTTAATAGAATCTTAATTGAATTCTAATTAAATCTTAAAAAATCTAATCAAATTTTAACCATTTAAAAAAAATTACTAAAAACACATGAAGAAGTTATAAATTAATCTTTAAAAAAAATTATAAAGAAATCCTTAAAAAATATTAAAATAAAAACTTGAAAGAAATAATAAATAATTTAAAAAAATCTTTAAAAAAAAATCTTTAAAACTACTAGAGAATCTTTAATAAATATTAAAATTAAAAATCCTAAATAGATTCTAAATAAATCCTATGTAAATCCTAATTAAATCTTAATTAAATCCTAATTAAATTTTAATCAAATCCTAATCAAATTCTAAATCAATCCCAATAAAATTCTAAGTCCTAAATTAAATCCTAATGAAATCTTAATCATATCTTAATGAAATTCTAAATCAAAACCAACTCCTAAATAAATCCTAAACAAATCTAAAAAAATCCTTAGTAAATTTTAATCAATTTCTGTAGCTATTTTAAAATCTCAATAAATATTAATTGAACCATTGATTTTAACTAAAATTTCACTCACATTTCAACTTGCAAGAAATTAACAAGTATACAAAATTTGAAGAAAATCCAACTCTCCAATTTTTTAAAAAAAC